CACCCCCCAAAAAAAAAAAACATCTTCTTAAAGTAGTAGTACTGTTCCATTGAAGATGACTACTTCTCTTCAGTTTACTTCAGATCATCAGTACCCAATAAACCTAAGTATTTCTCAAGAAGATCATCAACAAACAAAGGCTAGTGCTGAAACAATGAACCAACAGATCACTGGACGTAGTAGAAGGTCCAAAGGAGGAGCAAACAAATCATTAACACAGAAGAAGAAACAATCCCAAAGAGGTATGGGTGTGGAAAAACTTGAACGGCTCAGATTACAAGAGCTAATTTCTTCAAAAACAAGTCCACTTGATCAGTTTCCTAAATTATATGGTGGTGTTAACCAAGTCATGGCCCCTGATTTCTTGCTTCATCAAAGGGTTGCAAATAGTACTGTGCCGTATGGATCTAGCACTTATGGATCAGCTCCTATGGCATTTGGAGATCAGTTGATCATTTCTGGGCATGATCAGTTTCAAACTCAAATGGGTCTAAACGGATTTGCAACTAATTCTAAAGAGCTTATTACCCCTACTGAGAAATCGAAAGAGCTTTCTTCACTGCCAAATTTAATGAGTATCAAGTCATCTTGTTTCTCCCATCGCTGCAGTTCATGCAACAAAGTATAATATACTATACCCTTTGATTAAATTTTTCATTTAAAGTTTGATTTTGGTTTATTTATGTTTTTTGCTTTTTAATTTCTCTTTAATCGTCAGAAGAAGCGCATGATTAATGGAGATGATATGGGACGTTCTAACATAGAGGCTGGCATTATTCATATGGAGAACGTGATTGGAGAAAATCAATATTTTGGAACGAAGCCTTTGCTTCACCCATTCTCTATACCTAGTCATCTTGAAAAGGTAAAAAAAATGCAGCCCTAATTTTTTTTTTTATTTCTCTTAATCAAAGACAATATAAAATGTTAGCAGTTCATTCTTTTTTATCATTCCTCTGTATAGGTTCCGGGATGCTTTTTCTCATGTAATTTTTGTTTTGAAAATTTAATAATTTGTAGGGGGTAGAGATAGTGGCAATCCACAGAAAGGGAAATTCATCATCACCATTATCAGAAGGAGGACTTGTAATGGAGTATGAATTCTTTCCTACAGAGAAAAGTGGCAGATCAAACACTATAAGTTGTTTCGAAAATGATATGATGATGAAGAAAATGATGACTACTTCATCAGAATCTTCTTCAGTTGCAGCAGCAGCAACAGTGGGTAATGGAGAAGCTTCTTGTGTTACTACAATATCTTGGGTTGATACTGCTACTACAACTACACCCACCAGTTCTATTGATCTATCACTCAAGCTTTCTTTCTAGGTCTTTTTTAATTTACAGATTATATTAAAAAGGAGTTACTATTTAGTTTGTCTTTTTTCTATATGGTTTCTGATTTTTGTCTTTTCACACTTGTGTGAAATTTATCTGATCAAGAACCCAAACACTACTTTTTATTTACCCTTTTGGTTTATATAGCTAGCTACCTGTTATTACCTCTCCAAAATGGAGCAATACATTTTCTGGGTTTTTGTTATCTCTCTCTCTCTCTTTCTCTATGATCTTTGGGATTGTGTCAGTGAGATGGAGATGCTTCAGTAAATTTCTCAGCTTTTCTGATCGTATTTAGTACTATAATATTTTGTTTCCCATTTGGAACTCATGATTTTATTGTTATAATGCATAGAGTATCCATACGACTGGCTTTAATTTAAACTTGCTCTTATATTTAGGTAATTAGAAATGTATGAAATTATACTTGAATCAGTCTCTTATGGAGGAAAAACAGTTTCAGAAATGAGTTTCTTATATTAAATACATATCCTTCTGATGTAAGCCTAAAGTTTGAAGACAACAGCCTAGGCTAGCTATTTTACAAATTAATAAAGGGAATAGAAATTAAACAATTAACTGAGAATTTTTCAGTGAAAGCTCCGAGTGTAAGCATAATCTACAAAACCCTAGCAGCTAGAGTTTCCTTAAAAGGGGTGGCCACAAAAGCACAAGGAATACATTATCTGTTTGTGGGAGTCAAGCAAATATAATTAACCAAACCAAAAGAAGAAGTGCTTTATGGCAGTGTAAAAAGTGAGTAACAAAAGAGGAAGGCCAAAGAGCAATAATAGGTAGTCAGTAGACCGTATACAAGAAAGTAGTGTGTATCAGCTCTTCTAGCTTGTTGAATCCACCAGCACTGCACTGCTGGCTCATCTACTGCAGTCTGTAGCTGCTGCTTTTTTTTTTTTTTTTTTGGCTAGCTGGTTCTTTTCCTGCAACTCACAGCTCTTGCTCCCCGCGCCCAGTAGCAGTACCTTAGTGTAATGAGTATCTATTAATTAATATGCACCGGTGACACTCTCATTAAAACTTAAGAGAGTATGTTTTTTTTGTATGATCAGTTTAACTTTTACATATTGATGTTGAAAAATTAGGTAACACCCAAAAAATAACTATATTCAACCGTCTATTATAAGTGAATCTTGTAACCTAAAAAATAGTTTGAATTATTTGGTATAATCGGTTAAAATACACTATGAGTTTTCTTTATATTATAGCCTGTTTGGCCAAGCTTCTTTTTGGCTAAAAGTGCTTTTTTGGGGCCAAAAACTGAGGTGTTTGGCCAAGCTTTTGGAAGGAAAAAAAGTGCTTTTGAGGAGAAACAGAAGCAGTTTTAGAGAAGCAGAAAAAGTAGCTTATCTCCAAAAGCACTTTTTTGAGAAGCACTTTTGAGAAAAATACACTTAGAAGCAGGTTTTTAAAGCTTGGCCAAACACTAATTGCTGCTCAGAAGTGTTTTTCAAACTAATTAGTCAAACACAAACTGCTTCTTACCAAAAGTACTTTTGAGAAAAGCACTTTTGAAAAAAAGCACTTCTCAAAATAAGTTGATTTTTGCAGCTTGGCCAAACGGGCTATTAAGTATAGAAGTTAACTCCGATTTTGGATTCTCATAACTTTTGATGTGTAATTAATCTGTGTCTGGGCTATGTTTTTTCGAAATCACACTAACCCCCTCGTATCTACCATTGTATTTTTCAAATGACATTATATGTTCAATTACCCGTTTGACCTAATATTCATAATATTATTTTTCGGTTAGTCCAAATTCACAAAAAATGCATTTTCCTTAACATATAAGGTCTTTCTACCTAAACATATTACACCTTAATTACTTTCAATTTCTACCTTTTCGTGCATTGACCAAATTCATTGTGCTTTGGATTCAATAGATTAATGGTTTACTTCAAAAGGCAGCCTTGAGAAAAGAAACGAAGCCATGATAAGCATATTGTTTCTGAAAATCCTTTATAAGAAAGTGAAAATCAGTTTTCCGAGGCAGGTCCAACCTAAAAGGAAGCCCTTTCAGGATTTTAGTGATTCAATTATGCATAATTGTATTTCATTCATTTTAACTTAATTAGCAGATTGTTAAAGAAAATACACAAATGAGTTATTTACCGTATTTGTTTGAGAAACAAGTGGGTATATATTTTTTATTTTTCTTTCGCATAAAGTTGGTGTATAGGATTAAATTGTACTCTAGAAGAGTAAAACTAGATAACTAACTATATACAGTTAAATTCGGACTTGCCTAATTTTGTGTGGCTAATCGGATTTGGGTGGCAGATCAAGTCTCAGCCTCGCATTGTATCGAGTCTTGGCACGGAGATGGACCACCAAATTCATGAACCAATGACCAGTCATGATTGAAATTGGTCATGATCGAGATCGAAGCAGGATAGAGAACGAGCGAGATCGAAGGGAGCTTGCTGGGTCAAATAACAGGAAGCCGAGATATCCATGACCAAGCAAGGATCGTGACGAAAATCTTGGCACGTATCAAGTCAAGATCGGTTATTTAGTCAATCGTAGGATTTCTTTCTATATTTAGAATTATACCGTACGTAGAATTTCTCTACTATATAAAGGGGTTCTAATCATTTTGTAAACATGACATTCACGCATAACAAAATATTACATTACATTTTCTCTCAAGCTCTGTTGTTTGGTTCATACTTTCTGTAGCATACTCTGTTGGTTCGAGGGCGATCTAGCTCAAATACCATAACCTCTCATTATATTGGTTTGCTTTATTTTACAGTTAATTTCTGATATTAATTCTCATATTTCTCAGTTTGTGCCAAGTGAAATCACATATCCTTAAAACCACTTATAAGTTTAATTGTTATCCAATTTTAAGGGTAAAAAATTTGGCGTCCACCGTGGGCTGAGGATAATAGTGATTGCTTAATACAATTTTCGTAACACACATTATTTTATGCTTGCTCTTTGAAGTGTCTTTGATTACAGGATTAAAATATGACAAACTCTCAGTCAGCACCTCAACACATTGACAATGATCTCAGCCACCACGGCGAGAATGAGAACATTGCACCAGGAAACGTTGTACCCCCTGCCGGCCTCGGTGGAGTCCCGGCTGTAGACCCAATCGACGTCAGTTCACATGTAGCCGTCAATGGAAATGTGACCGTCAACCCCGAAAGCAGCGTTCGTGGGGGTACTCGATCACCAACCCAGAATGCACATGGCGATGAAGACGGCGGGATCAACTTACGGATAATCTTCGAAATGTTACAGGCCCTGCAGACAGTAATAGCCCAATTTCAAAACCAAAACCAAGCCCCAAGCAGGGTCGAACTCAAACCATCCCAGGAAATCATACATAGGGTTGAATCGGCCTCGAGGAAACCAAACGAGAAAGAGTCGGACCCCAGTCCTGCTATCACAAAGATGCTCGAAGAATCGACAAAACAAATCGAGACGCGGGAAAAGAAGATCGAGGAAAATGATAAGAAGGTGGAAACTTATAACGCCAGTATATAAACTCTCCTAAAACTCGGAATGTCATAAGTCACAAGCTAAAGAAAGAAACAGTACTCTCATACTCCAGAGTCTAATAAAAGAAGGAAAATACAAGAAGGGTTGACATGGGGTGGAATGGATAGGGACTTCGAGGTCTGCGGACATGGTAGATATACCTTGAAGTCTCTACGGTCGCCTCGTCTCACTAGTAATGCAACTGATGTGAGGTACCTGGATCTGCACACGAAAATCATATGCAGGAAAGGGCATGAGTACACCACAATGGTACCCAGTAAGTGCCAAGCCTAACTTCGGTCGAGTAGTGATGAGATCAGGTCAAGGCCCTACTAGTATATATAATATCACAGTAAGAATAAATACTGAAATTTAACAAGAATGTAAGCATAGAAGAACAACATCTCAAAACACAGAGATAACAACAGTGGATCTCCTAGGATACCGTCCCCTAGTCCCAAACGTAAATGTGCGGGGGGATCTACCGGAATCCTATTCCGTAGTCCCAAAGTAAATATGCAGAACATGGGGATATACAGGAATATTGCTCCTTAGTCCTAAACATAAATATGCAGAATAGGGGGATCTACCCGAATACTATTCTGTAGTCCCAAACGTAAATGTGCAGGGGGATCTACCGGAATATCGTTCCTTAGTCCCAAAGTAAATACGCAGCTCAACCAACAAAAATAACAGTTGCAACAAGGAAACCACAATTTAAGCTAAGTCCGAGTCAAGAAAAAATAGGAATTTCACTAAGCATGCTACACCGAGTCCAGATAGGCAGTTAAGACAGTTAAGGCATGTAAAACATATAGATACAAGCAACTAATTTAGCTAATGAAATCAAAGCTAAGGCAAGAAACTAGAAAAATGCCCAAAAATTCTCCCCGGGCCCACGTCTCGAATCGGGTATAAGTCATAAATTATGAACACCCATTTACTCACGAGATCACTCGTGCAAAAATCATCCAAATTCGACGCCTAAATCCCACTCAAATCTCAGATTTTTTGTTGGGAACCTTTCCCCTCCCAACTTCCTTACTCCAATTCCTTAATTTAATGAAAAAAACAATTATGGATTAATGAAATATGATCAAAATAGGATTAGGAATCGTTACCCAATATCTCTCCTCCAAATTTTCTCGAAAAATCGACTTCCACCGAGCTCCAAATTGAATTTTAGTGATATGAATTTCAAACCCTCGAAATCCCCTTTTCTGTCCAGTGATTTCTGCTTTTGCGATCCTAAGACCGCATCTGCAGTCCCGCACCTACGAAATTTCTATTGCAGGTGCAGCTTTTCACTTAATGCACCTCATCCGCTTCTGCGATTTAGTGGTCGCACCTGTGGATCCTCGTTCACATCTGTGGTCCCAGACCGCTCCTGCATTCCTTCACTCACACTTACGGGCATCGCAGATGCGGAACTCCCCTCGTACCTACGACCCCAAACTTTCTCCCAAAATTCGCTTATGCTCTTGGTCATCCACATATGCGGCACCGTACCTGC